CTCTCTCTCTCTCTCTCTCTCTCTCTCTCTCTCTCTCTCTCTCTCTCTCTCTCTCACACACACACACACACACACACACACATGACTGTCGGTGCGGTTAAATGAGTGCGATGATGTTTCCACAATGACCACAGATCAAAACCCAGCATATATAGGTTGTGGTTTGTTAGCAGATGCAAAAAATATAAATGGGAGATGAACATCACGAGAGGGAGTGGTATGTATGGAAAAGCGGGATTCCACTTTTCGTTGCAAAGTATGTTTGGAACACTGAACGTGTCTTTTTATTGTTGTGTTTGTGGTAGCAAGGCAGGAAAAAAAACGAACGTCGTGGAAGGCCAAGTAGTAAGTCCATTGTGCGTGCAAAGCGTTTGGGATTGTAGGTGTGAGGGCATTTCATATCCTGTAAAAGAGACAGTGCAGATGACAGACGAGCGCATGGTGTGTGAATGTGGTCGACCTTTCATGTCATCAAGGATATTAAACTCTCATCGCGCGAGGGCATATCCGTCGTCAATGGGCCATAGATCAAACGATGACGACGGACAGATTGGGAAGAACAGACCCGCAGGGGAGGACTGCGCGCCTGATGGCGGTGGCGAGGGTGTGAACATCGTCGACCTCGCTGTGAATGCGGAAATGGAATGTGGTTCTGAGGAAGATCCCCCTAACGCGCAGTCGTTCAACACATCCCGCAGACTGGCTGCGATCATGTTGTCCTCTGGGGGTGGGTTAGGGATGTCGCTCAATGACATCGACACTCTTCTGTCAATACTGACAGATCCAAAATTATCGCTGCAAGAAATCGTGTACGCAACAGCCGTGACTTTTTACGTTGGACGAGCAGGCAGGCAGAGACGAACGGGTGGCGGAAGATAGATCTCAGAAGTGATGACTGACCATCAGATGCACATGTCGTCCTGTGGTACCGAGATTGGGACACAACTTTCTCGTCACTACTCAAAGCAGCGACGAAAAATATGGAAACGGTGTCGTGTCTCTCAGTCCCCCCCCCCCAGGCAGAACCCACAATACACAGCGCTCGTTTAAGTGCGTTGTGGCATGGCGTACAGACCGTCATCAGAGCGCACAATGGTGTAGATAAGAATGGTAGAACACGGTATGTGGTGCCAATCTGTCTGTATTCTGACAAGACACATCTAGATGGACGACAGAAACAGACGACATATCCATTAATGATGTCAATAGGTGACCATGCAGATGACGCGACACTTCTTGCGTATCTTCCTGTCCTCCATCATCGCCCAGGAGACAAGGGATGGGGTTTGCAAAGCACCACGTCCAGGCAACGCAAAGCCGTCATATTGCACTCAACACTGTCTGTGGTGTTGCAGGCTGCGAAGCATGCGTCGCATGAAGGCATTGTTTATGATGATGCGCGCTGGGGAGAGGTAACAATGCACCCTTTCCTGCTGAATTATATTCAAGACTACCCTGAGAGGTGCGTCGTCGCAACGGTCAGATACGGTGTATGGGCGACGTGCACAGTATCAAAATCTGATTTTGATGTCATTGCAGACTTCAATAACTGTCGTCGATCACAAACCATAAAACGTGCACTTCTAACATAATTTCATTCGACAGACAACGATGATGTTCGTCGCATGACGAAGACTAAATTGTCCAACTTGAACATGCTCACGCATGTGAAACAGAATGGGCTGTGGGGATTTTATAGGGGTCCTGAAGACGATGATCCTATGTTCGACTACCACCTGGCTCTGCAACCGGACTGCATGCACACCGTCGAGCACGACATATTTTTGCACATGTTAGACGCTTTCAGAGCGGCTGCCTTTAACAAGTTAAGCCACATCCCACAAAGCCATGTGTTGAAGGAGTTGGATGCGAGGTTGCAGACGCTGAGCGAGAGAAGCAGTACTACGTATCCGCAACTTGTGCTACCTGTAGCAACAAGTAGCGACTACTTCTCACGGGAGGGGCGTTTCGAAGCTAAGCAGAACCGGTCGGTTATGACAGTGTGCGTATTCATAGTGTCCAACATTATCACTCGGTGGGTGGGGAAAATAATAACATCTTGTTTCAAGAAACTAATGGAACTGTACATCTCAATGTTCCGGTGCACAAAGCATTCAAGCCATTCGCTTGACGCATGTGACAATCTTATTACAGACTTCGTAACAACCCTGAAACAGGTTCTGGGACATTATCAAACCTCCAACTGGAAACTGCCGAAGTTGCACGACCTTCTGCATTTGAGGGCGTGCATCGAACGTTCTGGTCTCCCAGACAGCTTCGCGGCCGATATGTGGGAGCACCACCACCAAAAGTTTTGTAAACAGCCTTTCCTGTCGTCGAACAAGCGCAAAGCTTCGTTTCAAATGGTGAATCATGTGCGACGGGCCGTCACATTCGACGACGACATTGAACGTGCACGTAAACAGATGAAGAGGACAACTGAGAATTGGTCGTCCGTCATGGAGTGCTCGGCAAGCGGAATGAACACACTTGCCGCACGCGACACGGCGAAGTTGCATCTTCGATTTTTCCCCCGCGAAAATTTGGTATTCAATGGGAACGAAGGTGCGACGGGAACCGCGAAAGCGATATTGGATGCCCTCCCTTGCAAGGACTTATTTCGAGAAGCTCTTCGCACGTACATGTCGAAAAACGGGTGCAATCCACCGCATGAGGACATGTTAATACGCACAAGAACGCATCTTGCGATTGCAGCAACCGCCGATGGAACAACCAGGGGGGCACTTGTGCAAACTGCGAGGGTTTCACCCAACTTCCACGGGAGAGCGGTGCACAGTGATGTTGATGTGAGGGCACAGACAGGAAGTACGTGGTATGCATCTGTGGCAATATTTTTTGTCATGAACACCTGTACGGAAGAAGTGTCCATCACGCATGAGTGCGCCTTTGTAAAATGGTACAAAGAGGCTAACACTGAAAGAGCAGATGTGACAGGGTGCAAAAAATTGAAATGGGAAATGGTAAATGGTCGCCACCTGTGCAGCGTCATCTCCGTTGACAGCATCACGAACACTGTCCACATTGTTCCATGTTTCATTAAACCACAATGGGGTTCATCGGAGACTTATGGAAGACAACGCGAGCACACTTTTTACTTGAACAGATTTGTATTGTGATATGTGGCTTGCGGCACTGAACGGTGACTGCGCGGTCCGGTTGGGTAGTGCGTGCCAATTAAAGGAATACCGCTCACACACGACATCTTTATGAACCCCACCACCCATCTCTCTCTCTCTCTCTCTCTCTCTCTCTCTCTCTCTCTCTCTCTCTCCAAGCCCTGTCATCGCGTGACGAAGGAACGACAACCGAAACTGACGCAAGAAAGCTCGTGAAAATGCTGATGGCTTGTTCACAGGTAGAATGTCACACATTACGAGGAACAATACTGAACGCTTAGCACTGGCAGCAGACATGACCACGAGGAGAGGGAAACGATCAAGAACAACACGAAGAGGAAAAAAAACGTCGGAGATGACAGCGTGGCAGAGGTCACGATCGATAGCAATCAGGAGAAAACAATATTGACGAAGCAGGAGAACTTAGAACGAAGCAAAGTGGAAACGCAAAAGGTCGACAAGGGAGCGTCACACACCGAGAAGAGGCCACAAGCCATAACAAGAGAAGGCGAAGAAGCAACAAAGAGGACAACGGCGAAGTGCACAATAATGACAATGGAGGCTATGTTGGAGAGATGGGAACACCTGTCACAGAAGGACCCGTGGTACAACAGAATGTACTTGGCAGCGACAAGGGAAAAAATTCGGTCAGCGGATCTCGGACATGTAGAGTCATGCGGGAAAACGACGCAGGCAAACAAGGGCAGAATGCATCAAGCTCGTCCGACGAGTTCGAGGTTGTTAACGAGACAAATATATCTCCACTCATGTGGAAAGGCAAAAGCGAGGAGATCCGACTAGCGGAGGCAGATGTGATGTGCTTGGCCGTTGGGAAGTGGCTCAATGACAATGTGATGGATATGTATTTGCTGTCCGTATACGAAGAGCAATTGCAAGGTAAGGACACTGCAGCAGTGCATGTGTGCACAACTTTTTGGCATCCGGCGGTGCTCACGAATCAGAAAGTCGACACAGTGAAAAGGGGATGGGAGTTGCGTGTGAAGAGTCGGACGACCAACATTCATCGACTGTGTAAAGACCTGGAGGTTGCACCGGTCGTGCTTATTCCAATTAACCACAAACATCACTGGATGCTGCTCATAATGTTGAATGTAAGGGAGTTTTGGACCGACTGCACATGCCTCGACGTCATAATCGTCGACTCGTGTGACGGGTACGCAACTCCAGATTGGAGGGCGTTGCGGACATTAATGTGGCACGAGTACCTCAACGACAAAAGAAGGGGTCCGGATGTCGCACGCCAACTGGTGGACAAGTCGTGGAACACTTGCAGAGATGTGTTTGGTCGTGGACTAATCCATGTGAGGTCTTCACAACAAAGTAACTGAGAGGATTGTGGTGTGTATGTATGTTGCATGGCAGAAGAGTTGATAACAAACTTGGCACATCTCCCAACTGAGAATGGCGTCTCGAAAGACGACATACTTGAGATTGTAGAGAAGATGCGCATCGATGGAAGAACCGTTGGACACTTCCGTAGGAGAGCTCTCAATCGCATTGCAGAGTGTGCAGCAGCAGCGAAAGGTTACACGAGCCTTGGAGCATGTTGGACGATAGCTCGTGTCATGAGAGCGACCATAAAAAAAGACGGTGGCGAACTGCCTTAGACAAGTTCGACAGGCCATGTCGGCCGGGACGATCGAGGAGGACGACTGTAGTTGTATATTAAGAAGAAGTTGGCGAAGACTGCATCATGTTTTGTTTGTTTTCTTGCATGAATGTTAAATCTACTCCTGTCAACATATAATATGATAAACATATTTCTCTCTCTCTCTCTCTCTCTCTCTCTCTCTCTCTCTCTCTCTCTCTCTCTCTCTCTCTCTCTCTCTCTCTCTCTCTCTCTCTCTCTC